CTCTTCTGGAACTAGTGATTCACGGTGGCCCTGCGTGGAGGGCGTGGGAGCCCACGTCTCAGGACACCAGCGGCAGAATCAACACACCAGCGCTGGAACGCTACGTGAGCCAAATCTCAATAGCCCGAGACATCGGTGGGAAAGTGGAAAGAGGAGACTAGAAGGAATGAGGCTTAAAACCCTGTGGGGAAAAGTTCACCAGGCTAACTAGAAGAGAGAGGAAAAAAAAAGTGACCGGTACGGACATGAGTATCTCTCTCTCCACTCACCTCTCAAAGGAGAGCAAAACAAAAAGCAGGCACCATTTTGGACATACGTCATAAGTGGCACATCCTCAGGACTGCACCCCCCACCCCAGGCAAGCAGAAAAACCTGACTCGGGGCAGGGGATGAAATAACAGGAGATTAGGACCTAGTGAATGTGTGGTGCTAATGAACTGAGACTGTGAAAAAAGAGACGGTGGGTGAGAGAACTCATGGAATTCATGTGAGTACTCTCCAGAGACGCTACAATTTGGTAACCTTAGCAGCCCGGTGGGAGCCAGCAGGAGAATTTGAGCCCACACTGAGGGCACCACAGATTCTCTGTGTGGTCCTTGGGAAAGAGCTCCTGATCTCTGGCTCCTGTGGATATATCATTTGCCTGCTAACTACCTCCAATTCTGCTCACCGGTGCAGAATTACTTCCCTTCTGAATCAAAGAAAGAAAGAAAGAAAGAAAGAAAGAAAGAAAGAAAGATATTTACCACGCCTAATCTGGGAGTGTTACCTTTGGCACACCCTTAACCCTGAGGAACCAAACAGAGCTCTCAGGCCACACACATCACAAGCCTCTAATGATCCACCAAAAGCAGAGTCCACTTAATACAGTCATAGTATAACAAGAAAAAATACCACAGCGAGGGAAGAAGAATCCAAAGAATATCTCCACAATGCCAAGCAACAAACACAGAAACCAAGGAAACAAGAACAAGGAAGACATTATGGCACCCCCAAATGAACAAGACATCCCCAGCCAAGACTATTAAGATGATGAGATAGAAGAAATGCAAGATACGGATTTCAAAAAATTTATGATAAGAACAATTAGAAGTTTTCAAAAACAAGTGCTTGAGTTATGGAATTCCTTACTGGACAGGATAGAAAATCTCCTTTGAGAAAATGAAATCTTAAGGAGGAATCAAAATGAAATGCAGCAACTAGTAGAACAGGAAACTGTGATAGTGAAGAGAAATCAAAATGAAATGAAGAACTCAATAGATCAAATGACAAACACATTAGAGAGCCTTAAAAACAGAGTCAGTGAAACAGAAGAGAGAATATCGGACTTAGAAGACAGAGCACAGGAAAACATACAGTCAAACCAAAGAAAAGAAGAGGAAATTAGAAATCTAAAAAATATTGTTGGGAATCTACAGGATACTATTTAAAAACCCAACATTCAGGTTCTAGGAGTTCCTGAAGGCATGGAGAGAGAGAAAGGATTAGAAGGCCTTTTTACTGAGATACTAGCAGAGAACTTCCCGGGGTTGGAGAAGGACAGAGATATCCTAGTACAGGAAGCTCATAGAACCCCCAATAAACATGACCAAAAGAGATCCTCACCACGACACGTTGTAATCAAACTCACCACAGTGAAACATAAAGAAAAGATTCTAAAATGTGCGAGAGAAACATCAGATTACTCTCAGAGGATCTCCAATTAGACTCACAGCAGACTTCTCATCAGAAACCCTACAAGCTAGAAGGGAATGGTGAGACATATCCCAGGTACTAAGAGAGAAAAACTGCCAGCCCAGAATATTGTATCCTGCAAAGCTCTCATTTGTGAATGAAGGTGAAATAAAGACCTTTCACAGCAAACAGAAATTGAAAGAATTTGTCGCTACTCGTCCAGCCCTGCAAAAGATGCTTAAAGATGTGTTACACACAGAAACATAGAAACACGGTCATCAATATGAAAGAAGGTAAAGGAAGGAAACCTCACACCAAAAGATCACAGGGAATTCAAAGCGTATATTAGAAAATATCTTTGTCAAATGGTAGGGCAAAGTTACTACTAATCAATAGTCACATTGAGCGTTAATGGCCTGAACTGTTCAGTTAAAAGACACAGATTGGCTGATTGGGTTAAGGAACAAAACCCATCTATTTGCTGCTTACAAGAAACACATCTTTCCAACAAAGATGCATATAGACTGAAATTGAAAGGCTGGGAAAAGATATACCATGCCAACAGAAATGAAAGAAGAGCGGGCATAGCCATCTTAATATCAGACAACATAAATAACACAAAAACTGTTAAGAGAGACAAAGAGGGGCACTATATAATGATTAAGGGATCAATTCAACAGGAAGATTATCAATGTATATGCACCTAATTACAGGGCACCAGATTATTTAAAAGATTTGTTAAGGAACTTAAAGGGAGACTTAGACCCCAATACAATAGTATTGGGGGAATTCAATATTCCACTTTCAGAAATAGACAGATCAACTGGACAGAAGATCAACAAGGAAACAGCAGATTTAATCAAAACTATAGCCCAAATGGATCTAACAGATATCTACAGAACTTTTCATCCTACACATAAAGAATTTACATTCTTCTCAGCAGTACATGGAACCTTCTCTAGGATTGACCACATACTAGACCATAAAGCAAGTCTCAGCAAATTCAAAAGAATTAGAATCATACAATGCAGCTTCTCAGACCATAAAGGAATGAAGTTGGAAATTAGCAACTCAGGAATCCCTAGAGCATATGCAAACACATGGAGATTGAACAACATGCTCCTGAATAAACAATGGGTCATCGAAGAAGTTAAAAGAGGAAATCAAATATTTTCTGGAAGTAAATGAGGGTAACAGCACAACATACCAAAACTTACGGGATACAGCAAAAGCAGTGTTAAGAGGAAAGTTTATATCAATAGGTGCCTACGTCAAGAAATTGGAAAAGCACCAAATAGATGAGCTTTCAATGCATCTCAAGGATCTAGAAAATCTGCAGCAAACCAGACCCAAATCTAGTAGGAGAAGAGGAATAATTAAAATCAGAGAAGAAATCAACAGGATTGAATCCAAAAAAAAATTACAAAAAATCAGCCAAACAAGGAGCTGGTTTTTTGAAAAAATAAACAAAATTGAGACACCATTGGCACAACTAACTAAAAAAAGAAGAGAAAAGACCCAAATCAATAAAAGCAGAGATGAAAAAGGAAACATAACAACAGACACCACAGAAATAAAAAGAATCATCAGAAATTACTACAAGGACTTGTATGCCAGCAAACAGGGAAATCTATCAGAAATGGATAGATTCCTAGACACATGCAACCTACCTAAATTGAACCAGGAAGACATAGAAAACCTAAACAGACCCATAACTGAGACAGAAATTGAAACAGTAATAAAGGCCCTCCCAACAAAGAAAAGCCCAGGACCAGATGGATTCACTGCTGAATTCTACCAGACATTTAAAGAAGAACTAACTCTAATTCTTCTCAAACTATTCAGAACTATCAAAAAGAGGGAATCCTCCCAAATTCTTTCTATGAAGCCAGCATCACCTTAATCCCTAAGCCAGAAAATGATGCAGCATTGATAGAGAATTACAGACCATTATCCCTGATGAACATAGATGCAAAAATCCTCAATTAAATTCTGGCCAACAGAATGCAACAATACTTCAGAAAGATCATCTACCCAGACCAAGTGGGATTTATCCCTGGTATGCAGGGATGGTTTAATGTGCACAAGACAATCAATGTGATACACCACATTAACAGACTGCAGAAGAAAAACCATATGATTATCTCAATAGATGCTGAGAAAGCATTCAATAAAATTCAACACCCTTTCATGATGAAAACTCTAAGCAAACTGGGTATGGAAGGAACATTCCTCAATACAATCAAATCAATTTATGAAAAACCCACGGCCAGCATCCTATTGAATGGGGAAAAGTTGGAAGCATTTCCACTGAGATCTGGTACCAGACAGGGATATCCACTCTCACCACTGCTACTCAATATAGTTCTGGAAGTTCTAGCCAGAGCTATTAGGCAAGAAAAAGAAATTAAAGGGATACAAATTGGGAAGGAAGAACTCAAACTATCCCTCTTTGCAGATGATGTGATTCTTTACTTAGGGGATCCAAAGAACTCTACTAAGAGACTATTGGAACTCATAGAAGAGTTTGGCAAAGTAGCAGGGTATAAAATCAATGCACAAAAATCAACAGCCTTTGCATACACAGGCAATGCCACGGCTGAGGAAGAACTTCTAAGATCAATCCCATTCACAATAGCTACAAAAACAATCAAATACCTTGGAATAAACCTAACCAAGGACGTTAAAGATCTCTATGATGAAAATTACAAAACATTAAAGAAAGAGAAGAGGATACCAAAAAATGGAAAAATCTTCCATGCTCATGGATTGGAAGAATCAACATCATCAAAATGTCCATTCTCCCAAAAGCAATTTATACATTCAATGCAATATCAATCAAGATACAGAAGACCTTCTTCTCAGATCTGGAAAAAAATGATGCTGAAATTCATATGGAGACACAGGAGACCTGAAATAGCTAAAGCAATCTTGTATAACAAAAACAAAACCAGAGGCATCACAATACCAGATTTCAGGACATACTACAGGGCAGTTGTTATCAAAACAGCATGGTACTGGTACAGAAACAGATGGATAGACCAATGGAACAGAATAGAAACACCAGAAATCAATCCAAACATCCATAGCCAACTTAATTTGATCAAGGATCCAAAACCAATCCCTGGAGTAAGGACAGTCTATTCAATAAATGGTGCTGGGAAAATTGGATTTCCACGTGCAGAATCATGAAGCAAGACCCCTACCTTTCACCTTACACAAAAATCCACTCAACATGGATTAAAGTCTTAAATCTACTACCTGACACCATCAAAAAATTAGAGAGCATTGGAGAAACCCTGCAAGATATAGGTACCGGCAAAGACTTCTTGGAAAAGACCCCAGAAGCACAGGCAGTCAAAGCCAAAATTAACTATTGGGATTGCATCAAATTGAGAAGTTTCTGTACTTCAAAAGATACAGTCAGGAAAGTGAAGAGGCAACCGACAGAATGGGAAAATATATTTGCAAACTATGCAACAGATAAAGGGTTGATAACCAGAATTTACAAAGAAATCAAGAAACTCCACAACATCAAAACAAACAACCCACTTAAGAGATGGGCCAAGTGCCTCAATAGACATTTTTCAAAAGAGGAAATCCAAAGGGCCAACAGACACATGAAAAAATGTTCAAGATCACTAGCAATCAGGGAAATGCAAATCAAAACCACAATGAGGTTTCACCTCACCCCAGTTAGAATGGCTCACATTCAGAAATCTACCAACAATAGATGCTGGAGAGGATGTGGGGAAAAAGGGACACTAACCCACTGTTGGTGGGAATGCAAACTGGTTTAGCCACTATGGAAGTAGTCTGGAGATTCCTCAGAAACCTGATTATATCCCTACCATACAACCCAGCCATACCACACCACTCCTTGGAATTTACCCAAAGGAAACGAAATTGGCAAACAAACAAGCTGTCTGCACATTAATGTTTATCGCAGCTCAATTCACAATAGCTAAGACCTGGAATCAACCTAAATGCCCATCAAGAGTAGACTGGATAAAGAAATTATGGGATATGTACTCTACAGCATACTATACAGCAGTCAAAAACAATGAAACCCGGTCATTTGCAACAAGATGGAGGAATTTGGAAAACATCATGCTGAGTGAATTAAGCCAGTCCCAAAGGGACAAATATCATATGTTCTCGCTGATGGGCAACAACTAACTGAACACCAAAGGGGAGACCTGTTGAAGTGAAATGGACACTATGAGAAACGGTGACTTGATCAGCTCTTGTCCTCACTGTTGATGTACAATTTAATATTTTATCCCTTTTAGTATTTTTTTTGTTCTAGTACTATTGGTTGAACTCTGTAATTAACACACAGTTATTCCTAGGTGTTTAAATTTTAACTGAAAAGTGATCCCTGTTAAATATAAGAGTGGGAATAAGAGAGGGAGGAGATGTACAATTTGGTACATGCTCAATCGGACTTGCCCCAAATGGTGGAGTTAGAAATGTGCCAGGGGATTCCAATAAAATCCCATCAAGGTGGCATGTACCAATGCCATCTCACTAGTCCAAGTGATCAACTTCAGTTCATAGTTGATCACACTGATAGGTCTGAGAGTCAAAGGGATCACACAAACAAGACTAGTGTCTGCTAATACTAACTGATAGAATCAAAAACGGAGAGAACGATCCAACATGGGAAGTGGGATACACAGCAGACTCATAGAATGGCAGATGTCCTAAATAGCACTCTAGCCTCAGAATCAGCCCTTAAGGCATTCGGATCTGGCTGAAGAGCCCATGAGAGTATTTTAGGCATGGAATGCCAAGACACTCTGGCAAAAAAAAAAAAAAGAAAAAAAAAGAAGAAGACCTAAATGAAAGATCTCTGCGAGTGAGATCCCAGTGGAAAGAATGGGGCCATCAAAGAAGGAAGTACCTTTCTCTGAAGGGAGGAGAGAACTTCCACTTTGACTATGACCTCATTTAAATAAGATCGAAGTCGGTGAACTCAAAAGGCTTCCATAGCCTTGGCAACTCATGACTAGAGCCTAGGGAGATTACTGATGCCATAAACAAGAGTGTCAAATTGTTAAGTCAACAACAGGAGTCACTGTGTACTTACTTCTCATGTGGGATCTGTCCTTAATGTGTTGTCCATTGTGAAGTAATGCTATAACTAGTACTGAAACAGTATTTTTACACTTTCTGTTTCTGTGTGGGTGCAAACTGATGAAATCTTTGCTTAATATATACTGAATCGATCTTCTGTATATAAAGATAATTGAAAATGAAAAAAACACAACTGTGTACAAGGCATCCATATTATCATGGTGAATGAAGAGACAGATAAGGCATAGTCCTCAAGGAGCTAATAATCTAGTTAAAAATATTATATTTAGGGGCCAGTGTTCTGGTGTAATGGGTTAAGTTGCCACCTGCATCCTTGGCTTTCTCATATTGAGTTCAAGTCCCACCTGCTCTAATTCCTTTCCTGCTCCCTGCTAATGTGCCTTGGAAAAGCAGCAGAAGATGGCCCAAGTCCTTGGACCCCTGCATTTATGTGGATGAAGCTCCTGGTTCCTGTCTTCAGGCTGGCCCACCACCATCCTTTAAGGTCATTTTGGGGAGTGAACCAGTGGGTAGAAGATCTTTATCTCCATCTGTCTCTCTGTAACTCTGCCCTTCAAATAAATAAAATAAATCTTTTTTTATAAATTACAGTTAGGATTTGTGAAAGCTCTATTATCGATGTCAACCACGTGTTTCCTAGTAAAAGAGAGACTTGATTGGAAATCAGGACACTTTTCCTACTCCGTGTGCCACTGCCTTAATCAGCTGTGAAGATGGCAGGTGAGTATTTTCCTTTTGAAAAATCCATTCACCTCTCTTTAAAGGAGTGTTTTGGCCCCTGGTCCCTATATTCTCTTGCAATGCTGACAATCTGTGAGTGACTGCTATTTTAATTTTCTTTATTCAACTGATGTCGATATAGAACTGTGTGTCAAGTACTGCTCTAAACACTTTACAAAAATTAGCCTACATATTCATTATATAAATACTATTATTATGCCTAGCAGTATAATTATATTAGTCATATAATAAAACTATTATTAACCCCTTTTACAGATTATGAAAATGATACACAGTCATTTCAAACACTTAAGATATATTTACTCTTGAGACATTTATCACGTGTTTAATTTTGCTTTGCTGAGTGACCTATAAGCAACCTTTGACATTTCATTAACAAGTACAGTTATGTTATCTGTTTTTATAGAATCTGTTTCTTACTCAAGTCGAAGAAAAGCCCCAGAAACATTTCCGCTGGAGTCAGTGGAGCAAGAAGTCTGTGTCACTGTCACACACACACACACACAACAGCCACACTTGAGCAATCAAAGGGACCCCTGGGAACATCTTCCTGTCCTTTCTGCCCCCACCAACCCCATTATCTCCTAACCCCTCTTTAAAAGGGATGTAAAAGTGCCTAACATAAAAATTGGCTCACTTCCCACTGCAAAAAAAACCTTCCCTCCTCTTCTCACCTTCCCTCCTTCCATCTTTCTCACACTCTACCTTTCAGCACTAGTGATGTGCTTTCCTGTTTTCTACTTCCTGTCCAGTTGGCTCCTCCCCCACTGCAGGCCATCTGATCCAGGTCTCCCTTTCCTGCCATGCCCACTGCTGGTGTACATGAACTTGCATCATTCTCTTGCTCTATACTTTGAGAACTCTACATCTTCTGTAATCATCAGGTTTGACCTGACCTTAGCCTTCTCAGTGCCCTGCCTATTTGACAACACAAAGTGTTTTTTTTTTCTTTGTTTGTTTTTTTTTTTTTTTTTTTTTGACAGGCAGAGTGGACAATGAGAGAGAGAGACAGAGAGACAGAGAGAAAGGTCTTCCTTTGCCGTTGGTTCACCCTCCAATGGCTGCCGCGGCCGGCACACTGCGGCGGGCGCACCGCGTTGATCCGATAGCAGGAGCCAGGTACTTATCCTGGTCTCCCATGGGGTGCAGGGCCCAAGGACTTGGGCCATCCTCCACTGCCTTCCCAGGCCACAGCGGAGAGCTGGCCTGGAAGAGGGGCAACTGGGACAGAATCCAGCGCCCCGACCGGCACTAGAACCCGGTATGCCGGCACCGCAAGGTGGAGGATTAGCCTAGTGAGCCGTGGCGCCGGCCACAAAGTGGAATTTTAACAATGTGTGTTCATTACCATGTTATTGAGCAGTAGTAAAAAGATAACAGTTTTAGACAAATATACAGAGCAAGTTGTTTTAGTTTTCACTTGATAGCTATATATTTTAACAATTTATTTTAAATTGAAAAATTAAAATTATATATTTAACATGTACAAGACAATGTCTGAAGAATATATACATCATGGAATGGCTAAATAGAGCTAAGTGACCTATGCATTACCTCATATACTGATCACTTCTTGTGGTGAGAATACAAAACCTATTCCCTGATCAGTTTTCAAAAACCCCATACATTTTGCATGCTTTGACCAACTTCTCCCTAACCCTACCCCACCTCACCAGTATCTGGATACCAACATTAGATTCTCTACTTCTGTGAGTTCAAATTATTTAGATTCCATATCTATCTAAGTGAGACCATACAGTTTGTGTCTTTCTGTATCTGGCTTATTTTACTCATCATAATGTCCTATAGGTTCTTCCACATTGCTACAAAAGTCAGAATTCCCTTCCTTTTTAAGTCTGGGTAGCATTCCATGGTGAATATATACACATTTTCTTGATCTGTTTCGACTGTATGAGCAGTGCTGCATGAACATGAAAGTGCAGATATCTCTGACATACTGATTTCATTTCCTTTGGGCACATAATTGGTTGTACTGCATTATATTGATACTAACAATATTTAAAGTACTGACACTTGTAATTTCTCAGAAGATAGAGACCAGGCAAGGTGACGTGTGTATTAATGTGACTCTCATTTGCATTATGACATCATTCTTGAGAGGTAGAGATAAGCATTGTCCCCATACTGCTCTCCCTAGCGATTTCACCCCACCCCCCAGCTATGCCCAGGTGTGCATCATCAATCAAATGTGTCCTAGTGGAGAAAAGGTCTCAAGCCAGGTGAGAGGGGCCTTTGAGTCAGAAGATTTGAGATCTTATTCTAGCTTGTTATTTACTTACACTGTAACTTTGGGCAAGTTATTTCTTTCATTTGACTCTTGGTTTGCATGTCTATAAAATAAAGAACTTGGTATATTAATCACCAAGATACCTAAAGCTTTAAAGTTCTAACATTGCATGATTCTATGTTTATTATCCAAAATGTCCAATTTTGTCAAATTACTTGTGGCAACAGTGATTTCCCAGCTCCCTCGCTGAGGAATACCTCTGTGCTACGTGGGTTCTGAGGACACAAAGGAAACATCAACCACGGATCCTACCTAAAGGAATATGACTTATCTGCTGAGAGAAAAGTTGATTAGGATAATCAGCATGAATATATGCAAAATGAAAATATTTTAATTCTAGTTACACTTGAAATTCACCAAAAAATTTATAATTAAAGACGGGCATGGTATTGGCTGTAAGCTGGGACGTACAGAATGGGTGGGTTTTGATTAGTACACAAAGGAAAAGATTTGGGGGTAGAACTAAACTCCAGTGAGTATTTGATAGGATGTGTAGACAATACAGTTGGACAGTAAGAGTTGGACTATATTATGGAGGGTTTAGAGAGAACTAGTCAGGAAATTTCAGCTTTGATTCCATGAATGATTAGACACATTAAAGGATTTCTGATCAAATAACTTATATAATAAATGCAGTCACCAAAAAGATCAAATATACATCTATCTCAGACGCTCTTTAAAATTTATGTATTTATTTATTTGAGAGAGAGAGAGGGAGAGAGAGAGAGAGTCTGTCTGCTGGTTTACTCTCCAGATGCCCACGATGGCCATGATTGGGCTAGGCTAACCTGAAAGGGAGCCAGGAACCCAATCCAGGACTCTTGTGTAGGAGGCAGGAATCCAATTACTTGAGCCATCACTGTTGCCTCCCAGGGTCTGCATTAATAAGAAGCCAGAGCCAGGAGCCAGAGCTGAGTATTGAACCAGGTACATTGCCGTGAGATGTGGACATTTTAATCAACAGCATGTTCATTGCTAAGCCAGATGCCCCTCTCTCCTGGAAGTCTGAAATATGGAAGGTTCCAAAGTTAAGGACATTGCTGTAAATTTAAAAAATAAAATAAAAATTTTAAATAAAGCAAAGAAAAAAGATGATGTAAGCCTCCTGCCTCTCATTTCTGATACTGCAACCTGGGGACTATTAACTAGAGCAGCAGAGTTTTAATTGCCTGTTAATTGACACTGCATGGGGAGGGAACTGATTGAGGAGGTAACCAGGTCCCAAGCCATATGGGGCTTTGCAGAGTCATTCTGACACCTTGAACTACCCTTGGAAATGAACTGCTGCTCTGTCTGTGGCTAAGCACTTACTTCTAACATCTACCCAAAAGAAGGCAGGGCACTCATCTGCGCCAGCTGACGTTTCTAGGTGATTTAATTTGAAAGAGAAGTTTGATGCAGAAATTTCATCAGGAAACATGAGAAGATAAATTTCTATCACTGGATCACAATTCTCTGTTAAAACAATTGTAACTGGGACACTTCAGAAATTTTTCAGCAGAATTTTGTAGCCGCAAAGTGTTATAACTGGAATTGTCCTGCAATGGCAATGTTTTGATTTGTTTTAGTTGGGGAAATTAGCTTGGAGTGGCAAAGGAAGATTTTCAAGGTCAAATTTTAATTAACAACAGACTTGGGATTAGACCCCAGATTTCACCTTCCTCAGGCAATTTTTTCCCCAATTTATCAAATGATTTCTCATGTTATTAGTTGTTTCATTTAAAGAGACATTCTTCGGGGCTGGCGCTGTGGCATAGAAGGTAAAGCTGCCGCCTGTAGTGCCGGCATCCCATATGGGCACCGGTTCAAGTCCTGGCTGCTCCACTTCTGATCCAGCTCTCTGCTATGGCTTTGATAGCAGTAGAAGATGGCCCAAGTCCTTGGGCCCCTGCACCCAAGTGGGAGACCCGGAGGTGGCTCCTGGCTCTGGATCGGCGCAGCTCTGGCCATTGCAGCCAGCTGGGGAGTGAACCAGTGGATAGAAGACCTCTCTCTCTCTCTCTGTCTCTCTCTCTCTCTCTCTCTGCCTCTCCTTTTCTCTGTGTAATTCTGACTTTCAAATAAATACATAAATCTTTGGGAAAAAAAAGAAAAGCATTCTTCACACTCTTCAAGATCATTGTGGGACAGCAATGGTGAAGCAAGAGTTCTTTGAAATCCCCAAGTGTGTAAAGTACTCTCTGTGCAAAAGACTCACGGATTCTACCCGTTTACCAGCTGCAACTGCAAAGTGACAAAGACTTTCAGTGATGTGATCCTGTAAGCAAAAGCTTGGTAGCCGGCGCCGCGGCTCACTAGGCTAATCCTCTGCCTAGCGGCGCCGGCACACCGGGTTCTAGTCCCGGTCGGGGCGCCGGATTCTGTCCCGGTTGCCCCTCTTCCAGGCCAGCCCTCTGCTGTGGCCAGGGAGTGCAGTGGAGGATGGCCCAGGTGCTTGGGCCCTGCACCCCATGGGAGACCAGGAAAAGCACCTGGCTCCTGGCTCCTGCCATCGGATCAGCGCGGTGCGCCGGCCGTGGCGGCCATTGGAGGGTGAACCAACGGCAAAGGAAGACCCTTTCGCTCTGTCTCTCTCTCTCACTGTCCACTCTGCCTGGTCCGTAAGAGCGAAACATTAAAAAAAACAAAAAAAAGGCTTGGTTTTTGCCTTGACAAATCAACTTCTAGGGGT